GGAATTCATCCTCACACTGCCCACCGCCATAAACCCAAAACTCCCCAAAACACCCCCAAAATGGAATTCATCCTCACACTGCCCACCGCCAGCACACCCAAAACCCCCAAAAACACCCCCAAAATGGAATTCATCCTCATACTGCCCACCGCCATCACACCCAAAACCCTCACAACCCCCCCCAAAATGGAATTCATCCTCATACTGCCCACTGCCATAAACCCAAAACCCCCAAAAACACCCCCAAAATGGAATTCATCCTCATACTGCCCACCGCCATCAACCGAAAACCCCCAAAATAAATGGAATTAATATTTTTTTTTTTCCTTCAGTTTTTTGACTCACTTTCCAGCCCTTTTCCTCCAGTTCCTGGGCTCCCTGGAAGAGCTGCCCCACGGCGCGGGGGATCACCCCCCTGCTCTGGGTGTCCCCCCCCTCGGGCCCCTCCATGGTGTAGGTTTTTCCGCTCCCCGTCTGCCCGTAGGCGAAGATGCAGACGTGGTACCCGTCCAGCGCCGACTGCGGGAGGGGGGAAATGGAAAAAAAGGTGAGATTGGGGCTTTTTTTGCCATTTTGGGGGGGTTTAAGCCAAGGGGGAGGATGGTGGGACCTGCACCAGCAGAGCGATCTCCTCAAAGATCTCCTGCTGGGAGGAAGACGGGGGGAAGACGCGGTCGAAGCTGAAGTCGTAGCGTACGTCGCCTCGGCGCTCGCGGCCCAGGTGGGGCTTTTTCTGGGGAGGAAAAAAGAGGATTTGGTCTTTTTTGTTTTGGGGGTGTTGTATGTGTGTGTGTCCCAACTCCATCCTCACCTCCCCCCAGGTGAGCAGGAGCTGAAAAGGTGAAAAAAACCCCCAATTTGTCCTTAAAAACGTCTCATTTTTAAGGATGCTGGTGTTGGTAGGCCTCATTGGGGGCACAAACAATGGCGGGGGGGTTGTTAGGGGTAGAAACTCCACAAAGTGGGGTTTTTTTTGTGGGGGGGACCCCCAAAAGTGACTGACCTCATCCAGCCTGGAGAGGACAAGGGTGGTGTTGTCCTCGGGGGGGAACTGGAGATGCTCCAGCCCCTTCTGCCGCTCCTGCTCCTCAGGCAACACAGGCCGCACGCGGCAAAACACACGGATGTTGCCCTGGAAAAGGGGGGAAAAAGGCATGATTTTGGAGTTTATGGGGGGGGGATTCAAATAATTCCAACCCCCCCCCCAGACCCCCTTCCTCCTGGCTTCACCTTGAGCTCCTGGATTAAGTTATGGAGGCGACGCCGCTCGATTTCCAGCTCGTGGAGCTTCATCTTCTGCTCCTCCAGCTGCTGCTTCTGGGCCCTCGTCTCGGCCTGGAGGGTGGCTGCCCGCGCTGCCTCCGCCTGCAGCTGCACCGGGGGGGGGAAACACCCCCCCCGGGGGGAAAACAGCCCTTGGTTAATGCAAAAGGGGGAAAAAAAGGCTTCACAGGGGTGGGAAAGCAGCCCTGGTTGGGGTAGGGGGGCAAAAAGCAGCCCCAGGAGGTGGAAAAACAGCAAATATTGGCTTCGGGGGGGTCAGAAAGAGCCTCTTGTTAGAGTGGGGGGGGCAAAAAAAAGC